GCTATATACCTTCCTCTTAAGACTGCTTTCGCTGCATCCCACAGAAGTTGGGGCTTTGTGTTGTTGTTGTCATTTAAAAACATAAAGATTTTTATACAAATGTTCTTGGCAGCTTTATTTGTAATAGCTTCAAAATGGAAACCCAAATGTCCATCAGCTGGTGAGAGGGGAAACGAACAACTGTATTCATGCAATGGATTACTACTCAGTAATAAAAAGGAATTAGCCATTGCTACATGCAACAACATGGATGAATCTCAAAATAATTATACTGAGTGAAATAAGTAAGAAACAAAATAAACAGGACATATTTTATGATTCCATTTATGTTAAAAGCTAGAAATGGAAACTAACCTATAGTGATACAAGTAGGTTAAAGGATGCCCAAGGCTGGGGTGGAGCCTAGCAACTTGTGTCTTCACAAATGCTCCAGGTAATTCTGATGCACACCAAAGTCTGAGACCATTGGTTTAAGGTGATAAACTCCCAGCAGGTGGTTGAAATAAGGCTCAGGACTGGAGTATAGCTTTGAGAGTCACCTGCTTGGAGGTCGTAGCTGAAGTTATTGGATGAGAGGATTTAAAGAGGAGAGAACAGAAAACAAGAGGTGGGAGAACAGAAAGCAAGAGGTGGAGACTAGAGAAAACCTACTATCAAGAGACAAGAATAAAAGGAGGAGCAGGTGACAGAAGCAAGGACGAAGCAGCCTGAATTCATGGGGAGGAACAGATGTCAAGGAAGGGACTTCAAGTGCTGATACCAATGTGGTGCCTTATGTTTGCATTTTCAAGAATATTAGTACGTTAACCATGCCAGGGATGCACAGACTTTGATAATATTACATAGTGGTATGTAGCATTATCTACAGAGACAGCCCAGAATTTAGAGTCCGACAGACCCAGGTGGACTCTAACTCCTTCACTTACTCATATACATGTCTGGTCAGGCTTCTTGAACTGAGTCTCCATGTCCTTAATTCCATGAGGATAATTCTACCCGTTAACAGGGTGGAATATCTGTTATATAAAATACCCGCACCAGATGACTCACAAAGTTGTTCATTTCTTTATGTTCTCCACCTCTACCTCATAATCCCTCATCTTACAGATAAAGAAACTGAGGTCCAGAGTGAGTAAGTGATATGCCTATTTTACCAGTCACAAGACTGGTAAATAGTCCATTTAGAAGCACCTTTGACTTGGAACCTATGGGTTACTGGGCAGGTCCATAGGCGGGCCTCAGGAGTCTATGAAGCCCTTAAAGCATATGCAGATTGGATAGGAGTGTGTGATATGTTTTCTGCTGGAGGAAGTATTCATTATTTACACCGGCAATCTCCAAGGAGTCCAGAATCTAAAAAGGGTAATAACTTCTGCTGAAAGGTCAGCTGTATTTCTTCTTCCCTAAGTGCCTTGATTCCCACCTCCCCATATTCTCAGCCTTCAATCTCCCCATCACCCACCTTCGTCTAGAGCACAGTCTCCCTACTCCGCTGCCTGAGCAGTCCACAGACCAGGAAACTTGCTTCACGGGCTCACCTTGAATCTTTCATTCACTCCACAAGCAGCTCCTGGTCACCAGCAGATCTGGTCAGCACCGTCTCTGGTACAGAGAAGGACCCGAATGTGGATGAGGAGCTCACCTTGAAGGAGCTTACAGTCTGGCAGAGGAAGAGGGCAGACAGCAATAATTATGACAGATACATGCAGTCTGTGATGGGGAACATGACAGAAGAAACGGAAGCAAAGGTCATCTGGAAAGTGCATTTGGACTGGCTCAGCACTGACCCCTGGAATCTCTCTTTCCAAATGTCTGTCCATTCAGAGATGTACAACCCTCAGCTTCATCTTAATCTTCAAACCATCACAACTTGCCTTCCACTCACCACTTTGATGAAATTCCCTCCTTGAGGTCAACCACCAGGAACCCCTTGCCTCCTTTAACAGACTGCCACTTTTATTTTTGTTGCTCTCACTGTGACCCTGAGCTGTGCTGGCTGGTGCCTTTGTGGGTCTCCTTGCCTGGTTTCCGTGATGGCAGTATCTCCTCATTCCCTCCTGCTTTGCTGGGGTCTCTTCCACCTCCCTCTCAAGCTGTCCTTGATTATGGCATCCACCACCATTCCGTCTGCAGCCCACACTCTTCCCTGTCCACACTCACTGCGGTGAGGTGACATCATCTGGGCCCACAGCTCCACTGATCACCTTTACACAAACAATCCCCACACTTTTTCTTTCCATCCAGCCTTTCTTAGAGCTCAGCTCTGAACTGACTAGTACTCCAGCTGATTCCTCAAAAAGCTCAATTCCGATGCATCCACAATGAATTTATTACTTCCCCCTGCACCAAATACATTTGTGGGTTCCCAGAACTAGTCATCCAAACCAGAGACCTGGGAGTCATTGGCAGTGCCATCTTTTTCATCACCTCTCTCACCCAAGCGATCACTAAGTCCTGTGAATTTTACCTCTTAAAAGCTCTTGAACGGGTCTCTTCTTTTCTACTTCTACTGCTGTGTCGTGGTTGATCCTTTATATATCTGCATCCTGGGTAAGTCCCCAAATATTTAGGTCTCCCCAGAGCAGCTCTGAGCTCCTTGAAGAGCCAGTGATCCAGTCCTGGAACACTCCTGCAAAAAAGGAAGCAGTCCCCATGAGACCCAGCCCCAGGGGTACAGCTCTTTACATACGGGGCCCTAACTGGCAAAAGCCTCTGTCTCCATTGGTCCACCTGGTCATGGCTTCCTAACCAGGAAGTTCATCTCTAGGTGATCCTGGATTTCCTGACTTTCAGTGGGTCATTAATGTGATGACTCTTGCTGTCCTCCAGTACTCACCAGACCCCACTCCTGGAAACCCCAAAAATCATACTGTGAGGCTAGAGCACTGATTTCAGAAGGCAGAAAATGGGGGTGTATGACACTGAGGTTGCAATCCCTGTCAACACTGTAACCACTCTGAAAACAAGTTACTCACTCAGACTGCTCCCAGCCAAGACAATGTGGACTCTCAAAGCACCAGCACTCTCAGACCTCACATCCTGGAATTACAAACTCCAAATCCTATATTCCTGATCCTCAAGTCAAAGGAACAGCATGGTGTCTTGGGGAAGGCACAGCATTGGGGTCAAGTAAATCTGAGTTCAATTCTTGTATCTTCTCTGTGTTGGTTGTGAGACCTTGGGCAAGTCCCTTTGGCTACTTAAAGCCTCATTTCCTTATCCATGAAACAAATATGGTGACAATCCCCTCTCACAAGAGCATTTTTTGTTTTGTTTGTTTGTTTGTTTTTAATCAAGACACAACAAGCAAGACTCTGAGCACACAGGGGCCACTTGGTACCTGATAGTTCTCTTCCTCTAAACTTGAGAGTCCTGAATCCCCAGGGCCAGAAGCATGATAGAATAACTCTCATTTCTATAGGACTGACTATGTGCCAGGCACTGTCCTAACACCATACTTCTACCAACTCAATCCTCTCAACAGTTCTGGGAGGTAGGTACCACGATTAACTTCATCTTGCAGATGAGGAAATAGGCACAGAGAAATTAAGTAATTTGCCTGAGGTCACACAACTAGGAGGAAGTAGAGCCAGAATTAGAACACAGGCAGTCTGGCTCCAGATCTGTACCCTGAGGGTGGGAGAGGCACACTCTGCACACAGTAGGCTCTCAAGGAAGCTTATCGATATTGAGGAGGAAGAGAGAGAGGAGGGCAGTGATGGGGAGGAAGGAAAGGTCACTGTAATGAGGAAGGTGGATGGAAGAGGTCAAGAGGGATGACCCAGTGGACATACCAGGGCCTGCTTGGAGAGGTGGTAACCAAGAATATGAAAGGTCTTGGGGATGAGCTGTCCAGAAGTCTGGAGGAGCCTGTACTCTGGCCAGAGCTGCCTAGAAAGCACAAGCCTTGATGATGGTGAACTTCTTGGTGTTGGTGTCAACATTAGTAGTTGGAGGTCATCGTGCATGTATATAGGGTGTATTTGGTGCCAGTGGGTCTGAGATGGAGACTCTTGTAAGGGGGATCAGGGAAGGTGTCCTGGAGCAGGTGACATCTGAGTGTGGCTTTAAAAGATGTGGAATTTGATTAGTGGAGAAGCATGAAACTGCAGGCCTGTCAAGGAAGGTGGCCAGTCCTGAAGGTTCTGTTGGGGGTAGGAGTGGGTGGGTGGGGGAGTAAGCTGGGGCCTGGGTGGAGACCTCTGAGTGCCATGCTGAGTCATCTTTGTCAATGGGACACTTGCTGGGAGTTGTGCTTCAGGAAGAATAAGCAGGCAGCAGGAGAGGAAGGGCAGGATGAGGAGGAGGGTCTCTAACCGCCAGGAGGACTACCCTGGGGCCACCCACGCCTATGTCCTTGTGAAGGCATCCCTCCACATCCCTGGTCCTCTGACAGACTGCTTATCCTGAGGGAAAGGAGAAGGGGACCTCCCCAGAGTCCTGAATCCCCTGGGGTTTCTGCTCTTGGAAAGAGCCTGCCATGCTTGCTGCAGCCTAAGTGGGAACTGGAAACTGTGGGGTGGGGAGTGGTATGTAAAGAGGGCAGAGCTACAGAGGAGAGAGAGACCAAAGGCATGGCCTACAGTGGATGCTTTATGACTAATCCTTGATCCATTGACTCAGAGAAAGACAGAGATGCCCAAAGAGATACACACAAAGGGAAGAAGAAAAGAGAAGAGGCCTCTGGGAGAGGGGTTTGTCTTCCTTCCCATTTGTCTCCATTGTCACCAGATAGTACCTCATACACTATAGGAGCTGAAGAATTATTTTTTGAATTGAGAGATGCAGAGGAGACTCAGGAAGTGACCAATAACTGATATGGATACAAAATATGGAGAGAACCCAGGTTTTGGGTCGAAGAGCTTGGTAGACCTCCCTTCCCTTCCTGCCATCTAGATTTGCCCCTTAACAAAAAAGCCAGTCTGAGTCTGCTCCCTTCCCTCAAGCCTGAAAAGTAAACAGATCTCATAGAAGGCCTCAAAGACCTAACCCCAGGTTCATGGATTGCTTGGCCTGGAAGATGAGGAGAGAGGTGGTCAGAAAAGAACCTTAGGCCAGGACTTGGTTGCTGGATTTTGGAGAAAGACTGCCTGAGGTTGCCAAGGATCAGGGCTGGGGTGAGAGGAGGTTCTCTGCCTTTCCGTGGTTCCCACACTCCCTCCCTATCCCATATCCAGGTCTGCTCAGAGGCATTCCCTCTCACACAGGTGATATGTCTTATTATGGATGCAGAGAGCCAGCTGTGAGTACCAGGACTCAAAGACAGAAGCAGGTGAGGAAGACTGTGAGAGAAGGAGGAGAGAGGAAAGAGGGAAACAGATAGAGAGAGAGAGAGAGAGGAGGTAGGATAGAGTATGGAGCAGGGATGGAGGATGGAGAGGAAGAGGGAAGATGGGGGTGACAAGAGAGACAGAACTTTTCTTCCCAAACAAGAAAATTGCATAGTTGATGGAAACAAGTATCTAACAGGTGATAACATAAACATTGGGGCCCTGAGTTTGATTGCCTTTCCAACTGTCTGCTCCCCAGTTTATCTGTTTATATCTCTGTCCATCTCTCTACCTGCCCATTCATGTAACCATTTCTCTTTCTGCTTTTTAATTTGTCTAACTAGCCAGATATGTACACGTCCCAGGTCTGATTCCTTGTCTGTTGGTCTTTGTCCACCTGCTCATTTATTTGTTTTTATACATGTTTTTGATCTATCGAACCATCTGGATGACCATTCATCCATAATATACCTGCCTATCTGTTAGTGATCTACTCATCCATACTTACCTCTTCCTCCTTCCTCCCCTCCCCTCCACATTTTTTCTGTTTCACACACATACACATCCATTTGTCCATTTACTGAGCATTCTGTTTCTGTCTGTCTGTCTGCTCTTGGTATATACATGAACATATTATCTGTCTGTCTCCCTGATGGTTTGTCTGTCAACCTACTGGCCAAATGGTCTGTACGTTTCCACCTACCTGCACAACTTTTTGTCTGTCTTCCAATTTTTCCTTCCTTCCTTCCATCCATCATCCATCTACGGTTGTTCATTCAGTCATTTGATAAATAAGTATTTATTGAGCACTTCCTTTGTGCTCAGTTCTGTGCTAGTCTGGGGATATTAAAAGTGGGTAAGATGCCTCCTACACTGTTGGTGGGAATGTAAATTGGTTCAGCCATTGTGGAAACCAATATGGAGGTTCCTCAAAAAACTGAAAATAGAAATACCATTTGACCCAGGAAGGAAATCCACTCCTAGGAATTTACCTAAAGAAAACAAGATCCCTGATTTGAAGAGACATATGCACCCCTATGTTTATTGCAGCACTATTTACAATAGCCAAGAAATGGAAGCAACCTAAGGGTCCATCAGTAGATGAATAGATCAAGAAGATGTGGTACATATGCACAATGGAATACTATTCAGCCATAAAAAGAAAATAAATCCTACCATTTGCAACAACATGGATGGAGCTAGAGGGAATTATGCTCAGTGAAATAAGCCAGGTGGAGAAAGACAAGTACCAAATGATTTCACTCATTTGTGGAGTATAACAACAAAGCAAAACTGAAGGAACAAAACAGTAGCAGACTGACAGACTCCAAGAAGGGACTAGTAGTTACCAAAGGGAAAGGGTTGGGGAGGGTAGGTAGGAAGGGAGGGAGAAGGGAATTAAGAGGCATTATGATTAGCACACATAATATAGGTAGATCACGGGGAATGCAGTATAGCACAGAGAAGACAAGTAATGACTCTATAGCATCTTACTATGCTGATGTATAGTGGCTTCAGTCAGGTGTGGGGGAGACTTGATAATATGGGTGAATGTTGAAACCACAATGTTGCTCATGTGAAAACTTCCTAAGATTGTATTAATGAGTAAATAAATAAATAAATAAATAAGCAAAACAGAGAGAACAAAAAAGCAGTAGACTCACAAGACACTGAGAAGGGACAAGTGGTTACCAAAGGGGAGGGGTTGGGGAGGGTGGATGCGCAGGGAGAAGGGGATTAAGGGGCACTATAATTTGCAATCACAATATAGGTAGGTCATGGGGAAGGCAGTACAGTACAGAGAAGATTAATGACTCTATAACATCTTAATACACTGATAGACACTAACCGCAATAGAGGGGGTGAGGACTTGATAATATGGGGAAATGTTGAAACCATTGTGTGGTTTATGTGAAACCATCATAAGATTGTATATCAGTGATACTTTAATAAAAAAAAAAAAGACTCATATCACATACACAAAAAAAGGTGGATAAGATGTGATTCCTATCTTCAAGGAACCTGTGACCTGGAACTTACCTTGATGAAGAGTGGTAAGGAAACCAACTTTTGCCACTCGGTGGATGAGGGCTGATGTGGTGTCCTGTACAGGTGGCCATGGGAACACTGAGAAAAAGAATCTATCGCAGACTGGGGTCAGGGAAGGTTTCTGCAGAGAAGGTGTCAGTGGCCTGTTTGTTTGCATATGTCCTCTATCTGCCAGCCTTTCCATTTATGCCTCCATGCTCCCATCCATACCCCACTTGTCTAACGCACCTGTGTCCATCTACCTAGCATCCATCTCCAAACCATCTGCCTATCTCTTTGCCAGTTGAAGAATCTGTTTATTGTCT